TTTTCCACGTTATGGGAGGAACCCCCTCCCTTTAGTTGGGAAAAGGTTGGAAAAGGAAAAAGGAAAAGGAAAAGGACCAGGAAGGGGAAGGGGGGAAAAAAAAGAAAAAAAAAAAAAGGGATTGGGGCAGAGGGGGAGAAGCAAAGGGAAAAGAAAAAGCCCCGGCGGCCAGAAAAAGATCCCCCCTTTAGGGCCAACCACCAACCAACCAACCGGACCACCCCAAACCACCCCAGGGAAAAGGGGGTCACTGGACCCAGCCCATCCACTTCTTCCCTCGGGGGGGGTGGGCCAAATGGTCCAGTGCGTGGGGGGGGGGGGGGGGGGCGTACTCATTTGTTGCTTGCCGTAGTCATTTGACCATTGACCACGCGTCCCTTTCGAGACGGAGCACCGTTCCTACACCTACTAGAGACACCACCAACATTTGGGAGCTCTTTACGTTTCTGCCACAAACTCCATAAAAATTTCTTGCACATCTTATCCCCGTCCTCTAGGGCCTCTTGTGCCCACCATCTATCCCCAATTATCGCGATCGTTTTTTCGCTGTTGTCTAATTTACCAAACTTGTCCATGTCACACCCTCTCTGTCTCATTTCCTCCTCGAGATCCTCTCTTTCCTTCCTGTACAACTCACACTCCCCAACTATGTGGGGTCTACTCTCCTCCGATTTGCCACATGGACATGTGTGTCTATCCTCCTCTTCCTCTCTCCTACGGCTGGTATACCTCTTCCTCCGTTCTGGCAAGTCCAGATCGCCTACTCGAAATTGCAATTTCAGCTTTTTCGCATAGTCCATGGGGCCGTCCAAGTACTTCTTCATCCCTATCCCTTCTTTCAACTTCCCGTATATCTCCAAGTGGTCTTCGCTTCGTACCTTCTTCCGAAGGGTTGTCTCCTCCCTACTCTCTAGCATCTCCTTGACTTTCGTCTTGAACCCCCCGAACCCTTCCGTGTCCAACGTCTCCTCCTCGTCTCCTATCTCCTTCCAAACCTTCTCTACCACCTTGTCCCATCTGATTCCCTTCTTCCCTGGAGTCGCTTTTCCCCAAGCTGCCTCGTCAACCATGGCTGGTAGTCTATCGTCCGACATTCTACTTACCTTGTACTGCCACTTCAACTTCTGCATGTCTCTCTTTGTTTTAAGAGAGTACATTCCCAATTCTGCTCTCAATACAGTGTTGCTCGTTGTACTTGAACATCCTAGTATTTTCTTGGCCGCTGCCATCTGCACCGTTTCCAGCTGCTTGACGGCCTTTTCGTTACCTTCCCATATCTCTCCTGCATACTCTAGCTTAGGTACAATCACCTTCAAGAGAATGCACCTCTTAATCCTAGTGTCTAGGTGTGGGTCCGTAAGGATCTCGTCCATCTTGCCTATCTGAGCTTTACCCTTCCCAATCAACTTCGCTATGTGTGCGTCCCATGAGCACTCCTTCGAAATCTCTACTCCCAGGTACGTATACTTGTCTACTACCGGTAGTTCTTCCTCCCCCCATTTCCATTTGAATTCTACGGGATTTTTCTTATCTTCGTTACAGACCACTACTGCGCATTTTCCTACGTTCGCCGACAGTCTCCATTTTCGGGTGTATCCTACCGCCGCATCTATTTGTTCTTGCAACCCTTCTGGTGTTTCGGATACCCCCACGAAATCATCTGCAAACATCAGTCCGGACACACTCTTTCCCTCTACTTGGACTCCCTGTCTTACTGCTTCAACCGCCCTTATCAAATCGTTGATGTAAATCTTAAAAAGAGTGGGTGACATCGTACAGCCCTGTGCGACTCCTTGGAGTATATCCACGTACTTCGAAATTTCCCCATCCAACATCACCGCACTTCTTGTGCATTCTGTCATCTTTTTCAACATCCTCCACATTTTCCCCCGGATGCCGATGTCCCACATCTTTTTCCACAATCCATTGCGCCATACGGTGTCGTAGGCTTTTTGTATATCGAGGAAGAAACAGTATGTCGTACGCCCGGCGTCTTTCCTACCTTGGATGATTTTACTCAACGTATATACATGGTCTACACAACTACGATCTGGTCTAAATCCAGCTTGTCCTTCGCTGATCTTTTGTTTCCCCTCCAACATGTCTCCCATTCTATTGTCTATCATCTTGCCAAACAGTTTCCCCACTGTGCTCAACAGGGTTATCCCTCTATAATTCCCCGGGTCAGCTTTATCCCCCTTTTTGAACAGGTTCACGACTACTCCTTCTCTCCATCTCTTCGGCGCGTACTCGTGTTTCCATATCCAGTTGAATATCCGGATCAACATGTTAATCATCCCCTCCCCCCCCTGTTTCAAAAGCTCGTTCACGATTCCATCAGCCCCTGCCGCTTTTCTATTCTTGAGTTTCGCTACGCAGTCCTCTACCTCTTCTCGTGTGAACTCTCCCTGCAACCCGTCCACATCACTACGTTCCCTCTGAGATCTTTCAACGTTTTCCTCTGCCCACGAGTTGATTTCCTTCTCAAACTCCGAGTCGAAGTTGTCGTTGGTGGTGGGTGTCCCAAGTTTGCGGTAGTGCTCTACTAGTACTTCCCTCTTTCCTTTAGAACTGCTTACCATCTTACCCTCGGCAGATCTTAGTGTCGTTATTTCCGTGTCTCCCCCTCTTTTGTTGCCCACTATCCCTCGAATTCCTACCCACATTTGCTTCATCCCCCCCTCAAAATCTTCGTTAGTCTTTTGGACTACTTCCTCCCACAACCCTTTCTTCTTCTTCACGACCAACTCCAAAAGGGGGGGAGATAAGTCAAGAAAGAGGTTCATTTCGGCACGGTGTTTCGCGCCACTCGGCCCGCCTCTCCGCGTTTCCTGCCTTTCCTCGCCGTCTCGCCCGCTTGCTGTACCCCTCCCACCCCCGTGGTTGTTGCCGTGTCCGTGTTGTTGTCGGGCTTTTTGTTTCGTTTGAGCGCTCGTTGTCGGCTAGTCTCCTCTTCCTTCTTATGCCAGGAGGCCATGAACCTCTTAGCTCCCTGCAGTACCCTGCATGCCACGGTACCCCCCGGTCCGCCTTCGCTGCTTCCATCCAAGTTGTTTCCGGGACTCCGAAGAAGCATGGCTCGGCGTCCGTAGATCCGTGCTCTGCTTCGAACATCTTGAGGTCGTCCTTCAGGCACATCTGCCAGTTTTGCTCTGGTTTTCCCCTGCCTGGGCCCTCCCCCCCCACCAGTTCGCCAAGCATCACCCGTTTCGGGAGTCATCCGTCTGGCTGCCTTACCAGCGCTCCCGCCAACAGCAGGCGCCGCTGCCGGATAGTGGTTTCCACGCTCTGGCACCCTACCCTCTTCAGGGTCTGGGCGTTGGAAACGGATGAGGTGCCTCAATTCCTGCCATCAAGTGTCGGTGCTCCGTATGTACGTAAGACAGGGAGGAGGTGTCAAAAGTAGCAACAGGTTAGATAAATGATGGCATTCAAGACTATTATTTGCACAAACTCGCCCGCTGCGTGCTATTTTCCAACTGTTCGGTACTCGGTGTGTCCCCACCTGCTGGTGGGTCATCCTGAGTTTCTTTAGGGCACTTTTGAGCCAAAAAGAAACGTCCACCTCCCGAGTGCGATATAACTACGAAGCTCTGAAGGCGCCGTGTTGTCGCCGTCTCCTCAGGACAAAAGGTAAGGATGACGACGGGGCGGCCACACCCACCGTCCGGCATGATGTAGCACGGGAATTTCCTGCTGTGTGTGTCGTGGGTGACGAGGAAGGATCGCATGACCTGGACATTGTGCATCGACGGGGCGAGTTGTATCGACTGCGCGCGCTGAGCCTAAAGGTGTTCTGTTCGACACGACACACACACCGCACAGCACTGCCACCTCGCGGGTGCGATAAGCTGGTATATACCATACCTTAAAACGGGCAACGCAAGGAATGAAAACAATGTTTGTGATCGGTTCAGAATATCTTCATCCCATGCAACCAACGGTACGCCCGAAGTTTTCACGGATGATACATCACTGCTTGGGGGGATCCAGACCCGTCGACGTCTCGTCTCGGTGTTCAACCTACCCATCCACGATTTACAGCTCGGGTGTGACCGATGGCACGAGGTGCTTTCGAACGTCAACGTTCGACGGTCGGTGGCTGGTGCACCTCTGTCCCTGTCGTCTAAAAAAATCACCGCCTCGTGAATATTTGGTGCTTTCAACAGTTGGGCCTTTCCTGTCCTGTCAACAAACACTGCTGTGCAGACTACGTGTCCCCGCCCCCCGACGTTATCATAGCTCCAAGAGAAAACATCCACTTCACTGTGATAGGCTGTAGGGTTCTGCACGCGTAAATGGACTGGAATGTGCTAGCCCAACACGCGGTTGCTCAGCAGCACCAAAGCAACACCAGCCGCGTGGCTAACTCTCCGAGATGGGAGACTATAACCGATCAGTTCGACTCCCCCACCAACTCGATTCACGCCGGACGCGGATCTACTGCCGTTCGGGTCACCTGTCACAATCGAGCTGCTTCCGGTACATGCGTACCTGAAGCGCTGGGATCAGATACCAATAGCTACAACTTGCGGCGAGAACTTAGGCATTAGCCTTCGGTTGTGGCGTGCTTCCCCGTCTCGAAATCTGCCAGGAACTAGTCTGACTGCATGCACCCGGACGAGAACCGTTGTCCACTTGAGCGGGGAAATTGAAGACCCAGTCTTACCGAAAACAACACTATTGGGCGTGAGGCCCGAAATTTATCATATTTGCAGTGACTGCTGCCGCCAACATTTACACAGGCTACCGACTGGAAGGTAGAAGCTGCTCAAGGAGAGACCAGTGGGCGCTGACAACCAACAACGAAAATACACAACGTGAGAAAATACCACAACAGGCATCACATCGAGCAGAGCTCGTCCAAAATTAATCAACGTCACAACGAGGTCTCGCCCAAACAAAAGATACAACCGCACGTAAACAATCGCCCGTTCAAGTCTTTTTTAGTTCAACAGGTTAAAAGAGTGGAAATACGACAAATGAACACCGTGTTCTGAACAACTGGTTGGGCTTCATAAACGCAAAGCTGTTTTCTACACGACCACCTCCAAGTCTGATGAGACATTTATAATTGTCTAGAGCTCGAATCTTGGCGAACACCGAACTTTAACTCTCATATATACTTGGAATGTACTTAAAAAAAACACAAGGGCGTGGCGCCAGGCCTCCGCCCGCAACACCCGAGTTTCATCACCACGACGCCAATCTTTGGAGCACTCACATATTGTACACGGATGCAATACACGCCTTCAACGAGCCCGACAAATGCCAACCCGGAAATAGTTTATACCACTACAGCACGTTATACCACGCCAGGCGAACACCACGACGGTGTGTGCTGTGCCCATTCGTCAAACGAACACGCTACTTATAGAAAGGAAGAGAGGGACAAACCACTAGTAGATGGACCCCTTTCCGAAGCTCGCCAGCAGCACGGTTGACAAAACGCCTCTTCAAGGAGGCGTCGTTCCCCCCTCATCCTCCCTTCTCCGCTCTTCCTCTCGCCCCGCCAAGAACCTGGCTATCCGCGGCGTCACCGTCACGGTCAACACCGCCCGGGGGGGACCGATCGCGCTGGTCATCCCGTACGCTATGGCCAGGTTGCCGGCGCCGGCGGGAGGGAGGTTGTCCGCGAGGATGGGCACGTCCTTGACGAGCTCCGCGATGTCGAGGCCGCCGTAGTCGATCAGGGAGTAGCAGGTGCCGAGGGTGCCGAGAAAGACCGACATGTGGAACGTGGCGGCCACGCGGCCGTACCTCTTCATGAAGTGCTTCAGGTACTCCGCGGTGACCTTGCTTCTGGCTGCCTTCCACCTGTCGGCCAGCGTCGGAGCCTTGGAGGCAACTGCTGCCGTTGCTGCTGGTGGTGCTGTTATTGGTGGTGGAGGCGGCGTATCCTGTAGGAGGGGAGACGGGGGGGACTTCCGCTCAGCGGGAAAATGTGGTATTTTCAGTACCCAGCCGGTTTCCCTTCACTCACTGAAAAGACCCCACCACATCCCGTTCGACTGTGGGTATATCTCGAATGGGTAGTCTTTCTGTGTGTGTTTTTATTATTCCTTAATTTTCGTACGGAGGTTGTAGGAGAGGTGGGAGAGGTCACACATACAACCTGACGGCCGTTTCGTCTCCTACTTGGAAAAAAAGGTGTCAGGTCCGCCAAGGTTTGTAGCGGCTGCTTCGCAGCAGCCGGTGGACGAAACTGCTTTCGCTCGGGGGAGGGTCACACATAAACCGCACTTACAAACAACCGATTTTTGGGCATGCGCGTGGAGCTTCGCCACAGCGCATTAGGACAGGGTGAAATTCTGTTTGTGTTCACGGGCAATAAACAATACACGCTGCTGGTCGAGCGTTGGCTGAGTCACAAAAATCGGGCCGTGCGCCCCAACAAGCGTAGACTACACGCACCCGCGGGTGAAGATCACGCCCACTTCCTGCGCGGACTCTACGCGCCACCACTCTTAATCCGCCAAAAAAAATCTCCCGGGTCAATCTCCATCGTCAAGATGACATGCGCATAAGCTAGGATGAGGACGTGAATGGCTGCGTCACGCGCCCGTTGAAACGGAGAGACTATCGAGAAGATTCGAACCTCGAGTACGTTACGGCCGAAACGTACCACGTAATAGAATACAGCCAGTAGATCCGTCGCACGACCGCGCGATGATGTTAGAAAAAATCGTGCATCTACCATATACGAATTACATGGTACATGGCGCACCTTTTCAACTCCACGGTGAATCGAGTGATTGCTGCTGCCACACCCTGGGTGCTTTGACATGAAGCTTGGCGACGATCCCATGCCGATGTCACGCACGCTGCCGCTGAGCGTACGGCGCTGCGCGGCGGGCCCGTTGCTGAAAGCTGCTGACGTTCGGCTTCCGCCTGGCGGCTGCTGCTGTCTGCACCCCACTGTTGTTAGAGCAGCCGGGCACATCGCTCGCCGACACCCGACTCGTGCCGAGTATCTGGTGTGTGGCAACGCAAGGCGAACGGCAGCAAACAAAGGTCGGCGGGGGGATCCGAGTGAAGTCGTCCGTTGGTGACTGCCAAAGGACGCGAGAGAGCCAGTACATTCGTGGGGTACAAAGTTAACGCTTTGCGTGGATGGGTGGCAAAGAGTGGACGCTTGCCAACCCTTGCATTCTCACCTGAAGCTACTGTAGATCATCATGGAATAGGGAGGTCAACAAAGAGAGCTACAGCTAGCCGCCAATCCTGTCTGTGGTGTGGAGTGTCATGAAGCCCGCCGAGCCGGGGGAACGCAACTAGCGAATTTACGCCCCTATTAGACATATCTGCGCTGTGTACCCCCTCTCGCTCGACTTGTCGACCCTCTGGCGCTGGCTGACACAACACGCATGCGAGCGATGCCAACCATGAGGGACCTCAGCGCGTCACGGCGAGCTTCGGTCAACGAGCTCTGCTCGTTTGTGGGAGCGACGGAGGTGGAAAGCATCGCTCTTCTCGGGAAGTTCAATTGGAACGTGGCGGTAAGATAAGTGCGACGGCTTTTTTTTCAAACAGCAGTAGAGTTGGTTGATGTCGCGCTGTGCTGCTGATGGGGGAATGACTCCCAGAAATCGACATGTATGTACTGCTGCTGTGTCGGCTAATGCTATGGTTCCATCGCTACTTCATCCCGGACTCTGTCTGTGGATGTTGATAGACATTCATTCGTTGTGTTTCTGTAAACAAAAAGCTCGAAACCGTATGGAGTACTCCTAAAGTAGGATGAAAAAACGGAGAACCAAAGATGATTTGCATGCTTCGATCGATGCACAAGTAAGCATGCGACAGCTGCACCACATGGCAGACAACCACATGTATGTATGCATCGCGCACATGAGCAGCGGGCGAGCAGAGCACAACCCACGTATATCGGGAATAAGAAAGAGTCTACAACCAGCGTATGTGTAGTGACTCCGTGGTTTCCATGTAAATATGCTTCACGATGGACCATGTTCGAATGGACATCCTCATCAATATGAACCTCCGCTGCAATCACCAAACTCAACTCAACTCTGGGGCAAAACTGCTGTGTGTTAAGAATTAAGGAAAAATAAAAACACACCCAGAAAGACTACCCATTCGAGATATACCCACAGTCGAACGGGATGTGGTCGAGTCTTTTCAACTGTGTGTTAAGAATGTATCCGCCTTTATGTACCGATACTTTTGTTCGTAGCACCAACTGGCATCACTGATAACTCAGTGTAAGGCTTACACAAACTCAAAACAAGCCCAGTCTCCAGTCGGTTTCAATCCACTCACTGAAAAGACTTCACCACATCCCTTTCGACTGAGGTGATATCTCGAACGGGTAGTCTTTCTGTGAGGTCATGTTTACTTTCCAAAAACTGAGGGTTATTTTCATCTTCAAACTTCATGTTTTGCTCTTGGAAGCTTCGAAGTACCGCTACGTTCTGCGGTGGTGGTTAGAGGTCAGGCGGAGTTTCCGTTCGAATACACCACCAACAACAACGTCGGTGCCTCTGTTGAGTTCGACGTTACAGCCAATGACGATTATGTATCATACACTCTTGCACCCTCGGCGTGCTGATCGCCACATCATCTTGCAACCTTTTGCAAAGCGTCATTTCTCCTACAGCTGCTGCCCCCCCCCCCCCCCCCCAAAGGGCTTCCCGCCTGGGGAAGTGAAAACCCGGGCCGGGGAAAAACCCACGGGCTCCCTCCCCGCTTTTTAAGGAAGCCAGGGCAAAGGGCTAACCACCACCGGATGCCCCACTAAGAATAAACCCCCCCCCCCCCCCCCCCAAACCCTTTGGTTCAGGAAGGAACGGAAGCCCTTTTTTCCCGGGAAGTGGAAATTTCCCAACTTGGGGGCCCCCCCATGCCCAAAGCCCCGGGGCCCCCCGGTGTTGA